TTTTTTTTTTTTTTCTTTTCTGTGCCTGAAATTCGCTCCGGCTTTTCGTCGCCGTAGCCATCCTTTTTCCGGGAACTTCGTTTGACGGCGTCTACACTGCCCTACTGAAGAGAGCAGCAAGTGCGATCCACCGGCCACTGCCTGGGTCTGCAGCACAGGGAGTAACGATCAATGCATTACACCGACAAAGGGGCTCACGCAGTCTGTCCCGGCGCATCTGAAGGGTCATCGGCGGCAGGCGTCGGGCAGGATCGTACTTCATTGTCCCAAGATCGGTCAAGCTGGCACCGTCCGCCAGTGCTATCGATGCGAGCAGCATGAGATGGGATGGCGCATCTGGCACATTGCGCTGCTAAAGCCGACTTCGGCCTTTGGAGCCAGGTACATCGGACTCTGCTTGTCAAGGCAGCATCTCGACGAACGCAGCTCAGACGGGGTTGCAGCTCGCATCCGACACCGTCTTGGCAGCTACTACAAAATTGGCAAGGGCCAGCTATGGTTCGGGAGATTCGGTCGGAACAGATGGCGCGCTGTGCCCAATTTTTTTTTATAAAAAAAAAACAGGCGGGAGTCAAGCGCCACCTGCCAATTTGCGCATCCCCCCCCAACAAGTGCGTCGGTTCGAACTTTTGCCAGATAGCGGCCGTCGACCTCGCCCGTGGCGCACTTGTGCAGGCCTGGACCGTACACTCCTGCTAGATGGCGGGGCGATGCGAGGCACCTCGGTTTCCGAGGCGATCCGGAGCATCACGGAATGCCCTCTCCGTCGAGGCGAATGCATCGGGTCGGGAGCCCCGATGAGCCGTCCGAATTTCTCTCCCCAACGTGGCGGCAAGGGTCCGGCTCGGCGCGGCGCGAGTTCCCAACATCTGCAAAGCGACGGCGAGCTGCTGCCCCACCTAGGCCGTGTGGCTTTGCCATGAAACTTTGCGCCCGACATTGACATGCTCACGCCGTCCGTCACTCAATCGTCCTTGCACAGAAGAGGTGTCGAGAGGCAGGCAGCGACAAAGGTAGCGTCGGCGCGGCCGACCGATCGGCACAACCTTGCTCCCTGGCAGCTTTGGAAGCGTCGAGCGACGGAAAGCAAAGCGTCGAGGAAGCGCCGGCTAGGGTAGCCTGGCAAGAGTGTTCGGAGACGCCGCTGTCCCAAAATTCGCGGCAGAGCGCTGCAGAGACGCGGCCTGTCGAATTCTCCGCGTGGGCTGCTTGCTGGGGCGATTTAACTTTCCTTTGCTTCTTCTTCCCTTTCGACCTTGCAATGCTCTTCGGGAGTCGACACAATGTCATGCATCGATCATGGTGGAGCCGAGAAGCAAGTCCAACTGAAGCTATCGCTGCTTGGAATCGTGCCAAAAACAGAAACCGACGAGCATCCACGTTGTGCTTTGCGGATACAGGAGCAGGTCTGACTGGGGCGAGTGGGGCAGGTGGAGGCAGCAGCAACCAATTCGGCTTTGCCCAATCGATGCCGCCGATGGACGGGATGGGATGGCCCGTGTGCCGCCTGCGCTCAGGTTGGGGAAAAAAACACAATTTCGACCAAAAAACCTGCAGCGGAGCGCTCTGGTGTTGCGTGGAGGTTGGCGCGTCGAGCCGAGCCCATTTTCTTTGGGTGGGGGGAACAAGAGGGCGAGTCGCGAGTCGCAGCCCAGCGTTGAGTGTTGTTGTGTGCGGCGGCGGGAGGGCTTCGCAGGAGCCAAAAAGGGTCTGCTTCTGCCTGCTCCGAACGATATCCGAGGATTTTTTTTTGGTGGCGCGTTGGAAATTGTTGAGCCGGAAGCTGTCATCGATTTTTTTCTTTTGGCTACGCGCTCGCTTGCACTGGCCATGTGCCTCGCAACGCAAAGCAAGCGCTCGAGTTGGTCAGTGCAGCCGAGCTGGACGGCGGCCTTCTAACGCTGCTGCTGTTGCTCTCGCCGTGTTGGCGTTGGCGTTGCAGGGCAAAGGCAACATGCATCCCGATGCTCGTAAGGCTTCAGGGCAGCGAGGGCCACAGCGAGAGAGGCGGGAAGAAAGGCAGAGGCTCGTGCATTGCCATCTCGAGCCTTCCAGCCCTTTTGGCTGCGCCGTTAGTTCCGCCCGAAGGTCCACACTTCCAAGGCAACGAACGAACGTCGTCGGGCGTCAGCATCGCTCACTCCTCGTCAATCTATCGCAAAGCCCGCTTTTTTTGGTGCCCCACTCTTCAGACGTGAGCTGAGCTTTGGTTTGGCCGGCATCGACCTCCCTCTCCACCTTATCTTCACACCATCATCAACTTGCCTTCGGCGTCTTCCCCTCCCTTCATCTCGCACCCTCACGCTCCGCAACACATCGACGCCACCATCTCGTAGGCTCGACTGCAATCCCCACTTCGCAAACAACTTGCATCTTCGTCGTCAAGGTCTCCCTCACCCTTGATCTACCGGTGCAATCCCCATCCTGCTCGATTTTACGACCTGAAAGCAGTTCGTCGCCGGCTCCCTCTCTGGCGTCTTCTGTTTCCTGCCTCCCCCTCTCCATCTTTCGGCCCATCTTCCTGCACTTCTTGAGCTCCCTCGCTCGGAAAAGCAACAAGCCATCTTCAGTTCGAACGCAAACGCAGATTCGGTTCCGGCTGTCTTTCGAATTGCCGCCTCTTCTGCTTTGCTCCTCCTCCTAGAGCCGCTTTCTTGATCTCGCTCGATCTGCGTAAAGCTCGCATCCTCTGCCATCATGCCGACTCCTGACCACCAGGCTGTCAGCCACTTTATCGGTAAGTGCCGAATGCCACCGTCCCATGCTCTTAGAAGAGGAGACTGACAGTGCCACCCTCTTCCCCTTGTTTCCAAACTTACGCAGGCGGCAACCCGCTCGAGACCGCTCCCGCCGGTGCTGTCGCTGACTTTATCCGCAAGCAGGGCGGTCACAGCGTCATCACCAAGGTGCTCATCTGCAACAACGGTATCGCCGCCGTCAAGGAGATCCGCTCCATCCGCAAGTGGGCCTACGAGACCTTTGGCGATGAGCGCGCCATCGAATTCACCGTCATGGCCACCCCCGAAGATCTCAAGGTCAACGCCGACTACATCCGCATGGCCGACCAGTACGTCGAGGTGCCCGGTGGATCCAACAACAACAACTACGCCAACGTCGACCTTATCGTCGATGTCGCCGAGCGCGCCGGCGTCCACGCCGTCTGGGCCGGTTGGGGTCACGCTTCCGAGAACCCGCGTCTGCCCGAGATGCTTGCCGCTTCCAAGCACAAGATCATCTTCATCGGCCCTCCCGGCTCTGCCATGCGATCGCTTGGTGACAAGATTTCCTCCACCATCGTCGCCCAGCACGCCGACGTGCCCTGCATGCCCTGGTCCGGTACCGGCATCAAGGAGACCATGATGAGCGAGCAGGGATTCCTCACCGTCTCGGACGACGTCTACCAGAAGGCGTGCATCCACACCGCCGAGGAGGGCCTCGAGAAGGCGGAGAAGATCGGCTTCCCCGTCATGATCAAGGCCTCCGAGGGAGGCGGAGGAAAGGGTATCCGCAAGTGCACCAACGGCGAAGAGTTCAAGCAGCTCTACAACGCCGTCCTTGGTGAGGTGCCCGGCTCGCCCGTCTTCGTCATGAAGCTCGCCGGCCAGGCCCGCCACCTCGAGGTCCAGCTGCTCGCCGACCAGTACGGCAATGCCATCAGCATCTTCGGCCGTGACTGCTCCGTCCAACGTCGTCACCAGAAGATCATCGAGGAGGCCCCCGTCACCATCGCCCCCGAGGATGCTCGCGAGGCCATGGAGAAGGCCGCCGTGCGTCTCGCAAAGCTCGTCGGCTACGTCTCCGCCGGTACCGTCGAGTGGCTCTACTCCCCTGAGTCCGGCGAGTTCTCCTTCCTCGAGCTCAACCCTCGTCTCCAGGTCGAGCACCCCACCACCGAGATGGTCTCGGGCGTCAACATCCCTGCCGCCCAGCTCCAGGTCGCCATGGGTATCCCTCTCTACTCGATCCGAGACATCCGAACCCTCTACGGCATGGACCCTCGCGGCAACGAGGTCATTGACTTTGACTTCTCCAGCGCCGAGTCCTTCAAGACCCAGCGCAAGCCCCAGCCCCAGGGCCACGTCGTCGCCTGCCGTATCACCGCCGAGAACCCCGACACTGGTTTCAAGCCCGGCATGGGCGCGCTCACCGAGCTCAACTTCCGCTCCAGCACCTCCACCTGGGGTTACTTCTCCGTCGGCACCAGCGGTGCCCTCCACGAGTACGCCGACTCGCAGTTCGGTCACATCTTCGCCTACGGCGCCGACCGTTCCGAGGCGCGCAAGCAGATGGTCATCTCGCTCAAGGAGCTCTCGATTCGCGGTGACTTCCGCACCACCGTCGAGTACCTCATCAAGCTGCTCGAGACCGACGCCTTCGAGTCCAACAAGATCACCACCGGCTGGCTCGACGGCCTCATCCAGGACCGCCTCACCGCCGAGCGTCCCCCCGCCGACCTCGCCGTCATCTGCGGCGCGGCTGTCAAGGCGCACCTCCTGGCGCGCGAGTGCGAGGACGAGTACAAGCGCATCCTCAACAAGGGTCAGGTGCCTCCCCGTGACACGATCAAGACCGTCTTCTCCATCGACTTCATCTACGAGAACGTCAAGTACAACTTCACCGCCACCCGCAGCTCCGTCTCCAGCTGGGTGCTCTACCTCAACGGTGGGCGCACGCTGGTGCAGCTCCGTCCCCTCACCGACGGCGGTCTGCTCATCGGTCTTTCCGGCAAGTCGCACCCCGTCTACTGGCGTGAGGAGGTCGGCATGACCCGCCTCATGGTCGACTCCAAGACCTGCCTCATCGAGCAGGAGAACGACCCCACCCAGATCCGCTCGCCTTCGCCCGGTAAGCTCGTCCGCTTCCTCGTCGACTCGGGCGACCACGTCAAGTCGGGTCAGGCTATCGCCGAGATCGAGGTCATGAAGATGTACCTCCCCCTCGTTGCCGCCGAGGACGGTGTCGTCTCCTTCGTCAAGACCGCCGGTGTGGCGCTCAGCGCCGGTGACATCATCGGTATCCTCTCGCTCGACGACCCCAGCCGTGTGCAGCACGCCAAGCCCTTCGCCGGTCAGCTGCCTGACTTCGGCCTGCCGATCATCATCGGCAACAAGCCCCACCAGCGCTACTCGTACCTCCTCGAGGTGCTCAACGACATCCTCGACGGTTACGACCAGAGCTTCCGCATGCAGGTCGTCATCAAGGAGCTCATCGAGACGCTCCGCAACCCCGAGCTGCCCTACGGCCAGGCCTCTCAGATCCTGTCCAGCTTAGGCGGCCGTATCCCCTCGCGTCTCGAGGATGTGGTGCGCAACACCATCGAGATGGGCCACTCCAAGCACATCGAGTTCCCCGCTGCCCGTCTGCGCAAGCTTACCGAGAACTTCCTGCGTGACAGCGTCGACCCTGCCATCCGCAACCAGGTGCAGATCACCATTGCTCCGCTCTGCCAGCTCTTTGATGAGTACGCCGGCGGTCTCAAGGCCCACGAGGGCAACGTGCTCGCCTCTTTCCTCCAGAGGTATTACGAGATCGAGTCCAAGTTTACTGGCGAGGCCGACGTGGTGCTCGAGCTCCGTCTGCAGGCCGATGGCGACCTGGACAAGGTCGTCGCCCTCCAGACTGCGCGCAACGGCATCAACCGCAAGAACGCCCTGCTGCTCACCCTGATGGACAAGCACATCAAGGGCACCTCGCTCGTCTCGCGAACCAGCGGCGCCCAGATGATTGAGGCTCTGCGCCAGCTAGCCTCGCTCCAGGGCAAGTCGACTGCCCCCGTCGCGCTCAAGGCCCGCGAGGTCTCGCTCGACGCCGACATGCCCAGCCTTGCCGACCGTTCTGCCCAGATGCAGGCCATCCTCCGCGGCTCCGTCACCTCGTCCAAGTACGGTGGTGACGACGAGTACCACGCGCCCTCGCTCGAGGTGCTGCGCGAGCTCAGCGACTCGCAGTACAGCGTGTACGACGTGCTGCACAGCTTCTTCGGCCACCGCGAGCACCATGTCGCATTTGCTGCGCTGTGCACCTACGTCGTGCGCGCCTACCGCGCCTACGAGATCGTCAACTTTGACTACGCCGTCGAGGACTTTGACGTCGAGGAGCGTGCCGTGCTCACCTGGCAGTTCCAGCTTCCTCGCAGCGCTTCTTCGCTCAAGGAGCGTGAGCGCCAGGTGTCCATCAGCGATCTCAACATGATGGACAACAAGAAGGTCCGCGCGGCTCCCGAGCTCCGCACGGGTGCCATGACCAGCTGCCCCGATGTGGGTGACATCCCCGACCTGCTGCCCAAGGTGCTCAAGTTCTTCAAGACCTCGGCCGGCGGTGCGCCTATCAACGTGCTCAACGTCGCCGTCGTCGACCAGGGCGACTTTGTCGACGCCGAGGTGCGAAGCAAGCTCGCCGAGTACACCAACGCCTGCAGCAAGGACTTCGCCTCGGCTCGCATCCGCCGTGTCACCTACCTGCTCTGCCAGCCGGGCATGTACCCCTTCTTTGCCACCTTCCGCCCGAGCGAGCAGGGCATCTGGGCCGAGGAGAAGGCGATTCGCAACATCGAACCCGCGCTGGCCTACCAGCTGGAGCTCGACAGGGTCAGCAAGAACTTCGAGCTCACCCCGGTGCCTGTGTCGTCGTCGACCATCCACCTCTACTTTGCCCGCGGTATCCAGAACTCGGCCGACACGCGCTTCTTTGTGCGCTCGCTCGTCCGTCCGGGCCGCGTGCAGGGCGACATGGCCGCCTACCTCATCTCGGAGTCGGACCGCATCGTCAACGACATTCTCAACGTCATCGAGGTGGCTCTGGGCCAGCCCGAGTACCGCACTGCCGATGCGTCGCACATCTTCATGTCGTTCATCTACCAGCTCGACGTGAGCCTCGAGGATGTGCAGAAGGCGATCGCCGGATTCCTCGAGCGTCACGGCACGCGCTTCTTCCGCCTGCGCATCACCGGTGCCGAGATCCGCATGATTCTCAGCAGCCCTAACGGCGAGCCTCGCCCCATCCGCGCCTTCGTCACCAACGAGACCGGTCTTGTCGTGCGCTACGAGACGTACGAGGAGGAGGTCGCCGCCGACGGATCGGTCGTGCTGCGTGGCATCGAGCCGCTGGGCAAGGAGGCGACGCTCAACGGCCAGAGCGCCCACTTCTCCTACACGACCAAGGTCGCCCTGCAGTCGCGCCGATCGCGCGCTCACGCTCTGCAGACGACGTTCGTGTACGACTTTATCGACGTGCTCGGACAGGCTGTGCGTGCCTCGTGGAGGAAGGTCGCTGCCAGCAAGATCCCCAGCGACGTGATCAAGTCGGCCGTCGAGCTTGTCTTTGATGAGCAGGAGAACCTGCGCGAGGTCAAGCGCGCGCCCGGCATGAACAACATTGGCATGGTCGCCTGGCTCGTCGAGGTGGTCACGCCCGAGTACCCGACGGGACGCAAGCTCGTGGTGATCGGAAACGACGTCACCATCCAGGCCGGTTCGTTCGGCCCCGTCGAGGACCGCTTCTTCGCGGCCGCCTCGAAGCTGGCGCGTGAGCTCGGCGTGCCTCGCCTCTACGTCTCGGCCAACTCCGGTGCGCGTATCGGCCTGGCCACCGAGGCTCTGGACCTGTTCAGGGTCAAGTTCATCGGCGACGACCCGGCCAAGGGCTTCGAGTACATCTACTTGGACGACGAGTCGCTGCACGCCGTCCAGGCCAAGGCTCCCGGCAGCGTTGTGACCAAGCCTGTGCAGGCCGCCGACGGCAGCGTGCACAACGTGATCAGCGACATCATCGGCAAGCCTCAGGACGGCCTGGGTGTCGAGTGTCTCTCGGGCAGTGGTCTCATTGCCGGCGAGACGAGCCGCGCCAGGGACCAGATCTTCACGGCGACGATCGTCACGGGCCGCAGTGTGGGTATCGGTGCCTACCTCGCGCGCCTGGGCGAGCGTGTGATCCAGGTGGAGGGCTCGCCGCTCATCCTGACGGGTTACCAGGCGCTCAACAAGCTGCTTGGACGCGAGGTTTACACGTCGAACCTGCAGCTCGGTGGCCCGCAGATCATGTACAAGAACGGTGTGTCGCACCTGACGGCGCAGGACGACCTGGACGCCGTCAAGGCGTTTGTCAACTGGATGTCGTACGTGCCTGCGCAGCGCGGCGGCCCGCTGCCCATCATGCCCACCGCCGACACGTGGGACCGTGCCGTGACCTACCAGCCTCCTCGTGGTCCGTACGACCCGCGCTGGCTGATCAACGGCAAGCGCGAGGACGACGGCACCAAGCTCACCGGTCTCTTTGACGAGGGCTCGTTTGTCGAGACGCTCGGCGGCTGGGCCACTTCGGTGGTCACGGGTCGCGCGCGTCTGGGCGGCATCCCCGTCGGTGTGATCGCGGTGGAGACGCGCACGCTGGAGCGTGTGGTGCCTGCCGACCCTGCGAACCCGAACTCGACGGAGCAGCGCATCATGGAGGCGGGCCAGGTGTGGTACCCGAACTCGGCGTACAAGACGGCGCAGGCCATCTGGGACTTTGACAAGGAGGGCCTGCCGCTCGTCATCCTGGCCAACTGGCGAGGCTTCTCGGGCGGACAGCAAGACATGTACGACGAGATCCTCAAGCAGGGCTCCAAGATTGTCGACGGTCTGTCTTCGTACAAGCAGCCCGTGTTTGTGCACATTCCGCCCATGGGCGAGCTGCGTGGTGGCTCGTGGGTTGTGGTGGACTCGGCGATCAACGACAACGGGCTGATCGAGATGTCGGCCGACGTGAACAGCGCGCGCGGCGGTGTGCTCGAGGCGTCGGGTCTGGTCGAGATCAAGTACCGTGCGGACAAGCAGCGCGCGACCATGGAGCGTCTCGACAGCGTGTACGCCAAGCTCAGCAAGGAGGCTGCCGAGGCGACGGACTTTACGGCGCAGACGACGGCGCGCAAGGCGCTCGCCGAGCGCGAGAAGCAGCTGGCGCCCATCTTTACGGCGATCGCGACCGAGTATGCGGATGCGCACGACCGTGCGGGCCGCATGCTTGCCACGGGCGTGCTGAGGTCGGCGCTGCCGTGGGAGAGCGCGCGACGATACTTCTACTGGCGTCTGAGGAGGAGGATCACCGAGGTGGCGGCCGAGCGCACGATTGCCGAGGCCAACCCGCTGCTCAAGCACGTCGAGCGCGTGGCGGCGCTGCGCCAGTTTGTGGGTGCGGCGGCTTCGGACAACGACAAGGAGGTGGCGGAGCACATGGAGGCGGCGGCCGGTCAGCTGCTCACGGCGACCAAGCAGCTCAAGGCGCAGTACATCCTGGCGCAGATCTCGACGCTCGACCCCGAGCTCAAGGCGCAGCTCGCCGCGTCGCTGCAGTAGGCGCTGGCGTAGGTGGGGATGTGCAGGGCTTTGACCTTGTGGCTCGTGACCGCAGCAGCGTGGAGCGTGGATTGAGGGATCCGCGTTCCGTCTGCTGGTGGCGCGCTCGGAGGCAGGCCAGGCTTGGACTCAATTGGCGCGCGGCAAGGGTGCGACGTGACGACTGAGGGGTTGTCACCGCATCTGTGCTGCTTCTTCTTTCTCTTCTCTCCTCCTTCTTCTTCCCGGGGTTCTCCAATGTGCTCTATTTCACCGTATAGACTCTGACTGCAACTTTTGATCCGGTTTCATTCTGCTCGACGAGGTCAAAGGGACTTGGGTGTCCTAGAGTGATCTGAATGCGCTTCTGCCGCTCGCTGAGAGGCTCGACTTTGTGTGCGCTCCAATTCGTACTCACAAAGAAGCCGTGCGAGATGAAGGCAAAGGTGAGGATCCGCTTTTCGATGCGTGTGCGTGAGGGAAGATGATGTGCGGGTGGGTTGGGGAATGTGGGACCAGCAGTGCGCGGAAATTGTGGGAAGCAGCAAGGCACGCGGATGTGGAGGAAGAAAGCGGAAGCGGGTCCCCGAGCTTAATTTTGCGCACACGCGCATCGAGCGTCCAACCTTATCGTGCGACCTTCATGGACGGTGCGGAAGGGTGCGGATGTCTACGGCTGCGGATGTCGTTCATGACCTTTGTCTCGACTTGACACTGTACCTCGCTGACTGGCTGGAAAGGGCAAGAGCTTGTCGGGAGGTGCGCAAGACATAAAGGCGCGGTTGTCTTGGTCTTGCAGCGTTGATTCCCGCACCTTTGCTCGTTGACTCCGGTAGGACAAGATGGAGGGCCACGCAGCTACGAGCGCCAGGCTGCTGGCGATGGGCAGCCTGTCCATCCGCGACTATCTCAAAACCGCACTGCCCCAGCAAGACATGCTCGACATCGTTCCCGCCCCTTCCGCCCCTTCTGCGAAGCCTGCACCCGAACCGCAGCCCAACCAAGCGGAGGGCAAGGCCGAGGTGCCATTCTACATCAAGCGTCGGGGCAAAGGTAAAGGCCGTCCAGTCATGTACAACTGGTCCCACTCCAGCGTAGCCCAAATCTACGGTAAGTGCCCCACAGTCTCAATGGCAAAGCAAGCGTGATTCGAAGGCTGACATTTGCGAGAGGGCGGATAGAATTCGCGGCGCAGATGGATGTACCCGAACCAGTGTTCAACCACACCCGTACCGGCGCTTCGTAAGAGTATAACCACCAACATCAAGTCCTTTGATGCAAGGCTTAGTGCTGACAAGGAGAGATGTGGATATAGACACATGCCGAGTTTCACAGTGACGGTCGAGTTCGACGACATGCAAGCAACGAGCACCGGCGACGCAGGGGGCATCAAAGAGGCCAAGGAACAGGCGTGCATGGTCCTCGCCGCCCGCATCCTGGCGCGCAACGCCCGACGAATCACACACTGAATACGCCACCACCCAATGTCACGATTGCTCTCGAAAGAGGCTAGGATTTGCGCTGCGACAGACTGACGCAGTGCAGACAGAACGTCTTGGTGCAGCGTGTGGGGCCGCCACAAAGCGATTCGTCTTCCAATGCTGACGGCGACGGCGTGCGTTCCCGACGAGACGTTTGAGAGCGGCGTGATGCGAGAGGGGTGCCGCCAGTTGAGGACCTGGCTCGTGACGACGATGAAGGCTGCCGCGCGGCTTGTCGCACAGGCGTCAGTGGAGCGGGCACGGCCCGAGGCGATTCCGCAACTTGAGCATGCGATGCAGCACCAGACTGCCTCTTTTCTGCTATCTGTTGAGACGGCGCGGGTTCAGACGCAGCAGAGACCTCGGCGGGTGCTGTAGGACTAGCGTCGCTCTGACCCGCTTGCTGCGGCGATGACCAAGGCGCGCGCTGTGGCTGGTTCGGTGTGGTGCTGCGCAGCGGTTCCGGCGTGAGGTTGGGCTCGACCTTGACGCGTATCTTGCGTGGCGACTGCACCGGCGTAGACTGGACCGGAGCGTGTGCGGCGGAGTGCGAGCCGATCCCAATCTGTGTCGGCGGGAGATGCGTCGGCTGCCAAGGTTCTTGTCCAGCGCTGTCGGGCTCGGGCTCTTCGTCGTCCGACACAAGATCGACATAGAGACGCGCAGACTTATCTGCGATCCCGAGCAGCCCCGCCAGGCCGACAATGTCGTTGTACGGCAGCGTTTCGAACGGGGTGGTGCACTGCAGCAGCTGCTCGATGTTGTGGCGCTTGGTGCGGATCGACTCGACCAGCTCCTCGTCCGAGTCGCTGTGCAGCGTGACGATATCGACCTCGTCGTCTTCAGACGAAGAAGAGGCGTCCATTTCGGGTGGTAGCACAGGCGGCGACGCTTCGGTCTTGGTCCTGACCGGAGCAGGAGCTGGTTTTGGCCGCGGTGGACGTGGAGCGGCCGTAGGTGTGATGAGATCGTAATCGATCCAGGAGGGATGGCTAAAGTCGATAACGTCGTCGTCGTCGTCGTCTTCATCGTCAGCTGCATCGTCACCAAGGAGCGCCTTGCGTTGCGCTTCTGCCTGCAAGAACTCGCGCAAGTCGGGATCGTTGGCGGCTGGGTCGTGGCCGTCTTCGTCGTCATCGGACTGCTGAAAATCACCATCGAGCTGATGCGGACGGCGTGCATATTCGGGTGCGTGGGAGGGGTCGAGATCGTCGTCCGCATCGTCGTCCTCTTCGAGCTGCCGTGCTTCAGGTCGTTCTTTCCAGCCCTGAAGCTCTTCGTCTTTGATGAATACGCCGAAATCCATGCTCTGCCGCAGACTACGCAGGCTGCCGCGGTCTTTGACGACGACGATGGGCTCGCCATTGGCACGGTTGCCAAGGTAAATCTCGTCCTGCTCCTGCAGGTGCGCGTCCTTGAAGCGCTCAAAGATGCTGTCCCACTTGCGCTTGAGTCGCTGCGTGGACTGGTGGTGCAGGTACTCGACCGTCTCGGTGCCGTCGTCGTTGTAGCGCGGGATGGCGGTGCGCATCTGCGAGGTGAATTGGAGGCGACGGCGTTTCGGGGCAGGTCGAGACGGGCCGGCTACGGCGCCACCACGGTCCGCATCCATGGCGCTGCGCACGACGCTGGGCGTGTCAGCCTGTGGTGGGTCTGTTTGTGCTGGAAGAGGTGGTGGTGGTTTGGGTGTTGGTTTGACGTGCAGCTTCAACCGAGCGCGTTGCATTATTCGTTGCGTTATTCAGGGTCCAACGCCATCGCATCCCGATTGGCTTCGAGCGGTCTCCGATCCCATCGAGATGGCACGGTGTTGCTCCACCTCAGCCTGTCACGTTTCGGCCCTGCTTGGCAAACGCAACGCTCGGGCCGGCTCTCCTCTGCTACTCCTCACCATCCACGCTTCTGTATCCATCACCCACCGCCGCAAATCTCAGGAAATCGCAGGAGAGCACTCTCGGCAGGCATGCGCTCGCTATCGCGCTGCCGCACACCATGTACTACGAGCGCAAGGAGCTGATCCAGTCGCTCGACCTGCTGTGCTTTGTGCTCTTCGTCTACACCTGGCTCCTGGACAACCGCACGCTGCTGCTGCTCATCAAGTCGGCGCTGCAGGTTCAGTTCTGCAACCCGCTGCAGCTGCATCCCACGTGGTCGCTGCCCTTCTTTGTCGTCTTTCTCGCCTGTCTCAACGCCCTCCTCGCACTCGCGCATCTCTGGGCGCCCGCAAGCGCGACCAACAGGGGCGATGCGATCCTCATCGACTTTGTAGGCCAGGATGCGGCACCGGGACGACTGCACATGCTGGGCATAGATCTGTGCGTCGCCGCAGTGCAGCTGCTCATGACCGTTGTCGCGTTCGAATGCGCAAAAGACCAGGCCAAGCAGGATGGAGAGCAGAGTCTACTCGATGACACCACCGAACGCCAGGGCGAGGAGCGTGGACAGGGATGGGACGTGCGCGACGAAGAGGCGGCTCTGTTCGGACTCGACACTGACGACGAAGCAAGGCGCGAAAGAACGAGTCTGACGCACTGCATTGCCGTCGTCCGCTTACGGCCCATCGTCGACGACATTGTAAATCGGCAGTTCCTGCCAGACGCGCCGCCCGCAGAGGCTCAGCAAGAGCCACAGGCCCAACAGCCAACCGTTCAGACCGGCGATCGACCGGACACGAGTCGCATACGACGCTTCTCGCGGCGTCCACGCGCAGCGCCAGCACTTGCCGACGCCGGTGCGCCGCCAGCGTATGCGGGGCTGGGGCCTGTATCCGCCGACGACTCGTGGCCACCCATGTGGCTGATCGTCGCGCGCAACATGGCCCCACGCCTCCCCTCGCTTCCCTCTCTTCCCTCTCTTCCCTCTCTTCCCTCTCTTCGCCCCTCGGTCTTGAGCCGCTTTGGCCGATCGCTCACCGCCAACTCTCCTGCCG